GAATATTTAGGTACTGGCAAAAAGAATCTGACAGTAATAGTTCTGAGGTGTACACCTTCGAAACTGCATTTGGGCCTTATCAGCATACCAGGTAACCTCGGGTTTTTCAGAAAAAAAAAATTAAATTATCGCGGACTTCTATTTGATGGATCTATATTTTGATGATTTGATCATTACTGGTAATTCAAATGATGGACACGACAGAAATTTAAGATTCGTTTTGGAAAGGGCGCAATCAAATGTAATGTAAAACAGAACGAGGCAAAAGTTCGATTTTACAAGGGTCTTGAATTATTTGGCTACGCCAAGCTTCTGGTATCTTTGGCTATAATTTATCAGTTTATTACTGTCCTATAAATCTGGTAAATATAATATACATACATGTTTCTGAAACATTGTCGCTAGCCTAGTTAAGTGACATTGGCGTTAAGTCTAATGCTGAAATTCATTTTGCCATAAATTCTTTGGTAAGTCATTTACCAATGTCACAACTAAGAATATTGTAGTTTAAAAATGAAACTACCAAAGACCCGCACTTGAAAGTAGTTTTAAAATGGCTGGCAAAATTGAAAAAATCTCTTAAATTAAGGTAGTTTGTTTTTTAGTGACAATCCAATTTTTTTAGATAAATCCTCAGTGGTATTTTGAGGTCTTTGGGAAACTGCAGGTTCAGTTACTTCAACTTATGCAGGTTTCAAATTGGTGATAGCTAAGATAAGGCTCTGACTTGAAATCACAGTTTATAATGGTGCAAGACTCCAAACAGCTTGTCTCATCCGCCTAGACATTCTTTACAAAATTTGACCCGTTCATGTAACTATTGGACTATTCAAATACGGTAAAAATACGGAACGATAATTTATGTAAAAAAAAGGATTAGGGGAATGAGATAACATCACACAAAAGTAGGTACTTGATAACTGATAATTTTCTATTTTCCATAGCATCCATAATATCCACATATTGAAATAATTGACCAATAAAAGCTTTCAAAAATTTCACTAAATAGAATAAATGCTCAACATAATATTATCGCAGAAAGCTTTTGAATTGAAATATTAAATATTTGTTTTCCACAGAGTTTACGGTTTACCAGCAATCTGAAGGAAAATGACCAAACCTGGGTTCCACTCTAAAAAACTAATACAGTAGCGAGTATCTCAATTGACTTTTGGGTTTTTTATGTGTTTTGTTGGCGGTATGAGGGTAGATCTCGGGAAATGAAGACAGAAGTGTGAAAGCGGATGTGACATGCGCAGTGATTAGTGCGCAGCTACTTTAGCGCTTGCGGCCTAAGGTGGCATCAGATTTTCATGTAGATGATATCGATATAGTAGATCGCTGTAAATTTGTGCAGTGAATTATGCCCGTTGCAACTTTCATGGATAGGATAGGTAGGGCTGGCCTGATTTGGGATTCCCTAAATTCGGAAAATGGTTTCCACCAGTCAACATTTTGAAATGCCTAAGCTAAGTGTCGAAAAGCACTGGCAACATCGCAGAAATTGGGGATTTTCATAGGCTTCCTTTAGAAGACCTAACCTGAATTTGTGTTTGTGTATTTGTCATGTTTGGGTTGCGTTTAGAAATAGCACTCTGGGTGTGAGAGTGACCCTTGAGTAGCTCTAAACCGTTCATAAATTAACAGGTGCTGACTAGGAGCGTTACGCTGGAATAGTTCAGAAATCGAGAGTTAACGTGCCTCGAGTGCGCCGAAATTACCCTACTCAGAGACTGGGTTGAAAAACGCCCCGCGGTTTTTACCGGGTTTGACGTGATTTTACATTATTGACATTTACCGCAACGCCCCAATACGTTCAGAAATAGCGCACCCAGAGTGCACTCCAAGTGATGACGTCAGAACACTCTGACCAACAACTACTCTACCTTCACACTCCATTTCTTTGGTAACTTTGACAGATGAGCAACGCATTTTACGTCATTCAAGACCAATTGGTTGACAAATGACGTTTACTTCATTGTTTATCTGTCAAGTGTAACCGATCGGTCAAACGCTTGAAATCTTCTTCGATGTTTTTGATTTTGATCTGTCCTTCGCTCCTTGGAGTAATTCTAGAAAATATTCATAATTGGCTGTTCGCTGTAAAATTCAAATACATATTTTATCAGAGCTAGATTATCCATAGCATCAAAGTTATTCCTGTCGTATATTCGTCAAAAAAAAAACCATTTTGTACTAAATGTAATATTTCCAAATCGTCGTCAAATATTTCCTTATCGTCGTCAAATATTTCCATTTCTAATTGAAAACAACAAGCACTCTGGTCCTGATACACGTACTTATATTTGAAAGATAAAAATACTGGAAAAGTGAGGTGAGGTGTAACCATTCCGTTGCTAGAGGTGACATTTTAGGTAGAGACTTCTAAAATTAGGATGTCCATAAGCCAGTATAGGAGAAGAATAGGCGTGGTGGAAACGAAAAAGACCCTTAACCTAAAATTATTTTCTGCCTACCGTTAAAGAGGTCCTGAAAAAGTCTCGAGATGTTTACACATCAGAGGCGGGATTCTGTAACGGATACACATCATTATCCCTATCGCTATGGCACTTGCTGTCTTCTTCTCTCTTTTCGAAATGAATAGAGAGGGGACGTCAATAGAGATAGCGAAAATATCTATTCGTTACAGATTCTCAGCCCACAGTGTCTCGAGTACTAGCAGACTCGCTCACTTTTTTACTGAATTTTCTCTAACAAACTGAATCGATATTGACTGGTAAACATTTTTCTAAAAAAGGAAAATGGCTTGCCAAATTCGAATTGACCGAGTAAGAAGTAAGGTATAGTAGAAATTTCTTTTTTTACGTTGAGTAGTCGCCTCTTGGCCCATCAGTGGTAACCCAATAATTAGATTTCAGAGACAAACGCTATAAGTAATAATTTAAGAGGTCCAAAAAAAAACCTGAATCCTATAAATCATTCATTAACTCATCAATACACGACGTTATTCGTTAATTATTGCGCTTGTTTTTAATTACTCGCCATCCAAAGGTGATAAACCTTTAATTGGCCATCGACATGTAAGTATTGCTCAGGATTAGATAAATACTTGTAACCCAAATCGATTTATATTTAACGGTATTATCGGTACGAGGAATTTAATAACCTGAAAATCGTAAATATGCTAATTCCGTGAGAATCTTTTTTGACGTATAGCAGATTATGTTATAGTAGTATTTCTTCTTCTGGATTATGCGAAGTAATTTACTTACTGATTTGTTACTGACAATAAAAACTCGCCTATTCTTGAGTTAAGTTCAGCTAAGCAAAATAATAACCTGAAAAGCAATATAAATTGACACTAGTACACACTTCCTGTATGGACATAATAGGCAAGCCAAAGCCAATGTCATAAACAAACCCATTGAATACCAAGCCCAGAAGCTAGAATTTAGGAATCAATACTATTGCCTTAGCAGCCTGTGGTGAATTTTTAATTGTTGCGTAATTGGCAAATGGTAAAATTATGCGAACGTGTAAACAATGGGTAATTTCGCCTATGGGGTTACTGGAAATGACTCTACTGATACCTACTCTAAATCCTATTTAGTTGTTTAGAAAATATTTATTTTTAAAATATCTGCCAAATATTTGTAGGTTGCCGATACATCGCAAATTTTAATTTCAGATAGCATCATCATCTATGTCTCTACCAAATAAGAATGACCTGTACCCAAGTTGGTACCTGTAGGTATAAATATGGAATTGTTAAAGATGTATCGAACACGAAATTAGCAATAGATGATTACATTCGATTTTTTTCTGTACATGTATATGCAAATGATGGCAGGTTCTAAATTGAAATTATTTGTGCTGGAAGATTTGCGTTGGTCGATCAATTATTGCGTGATTTATTATAAATAAAACTAGAAAGAATTAGAAGAGAAACTCTAAATAATTCACATGGTTTTTAATTGTGTGTGTAGAATCTGTAGTAAGAAACATTTTGTGACTAATTCATGCTCGCATGAAAGGTAACTTTTTAGACTTGTTAGGTAAATAGCGAGTATTAATGTTATACCTTCGCCAAGTGTATTTTAGTAAATCTATATATTTATATAAAACAAAGTCGTGTTAGTTACAGAACTTATAACTCGAGAACGGCTGGACCGATTTTTATGATTTTTGCTTTGTTGGATTTGTCTTTACCACGCCTAACGTAATAACTATTGAAACATAGACAAAATCACGAAAAATAAATTTATGAAGAAAGTTCATTAAATTCGCATACAGCGCCATGTCTGATAACCGATATGAAGTTCGTTGCAACAGATTACGCGGTCCTTTTATAAATAAAAATAAGGTTATGCTGAACGTCTGTCATGTCAGTCTGTCAAGGATATTACAAACTACAAAACAAAGGAATGCTTATCGGCCTAGATTTTTCGAATCAGCTGTATGGTGTAGGTACTAGCACTGTTGCTGACGTCATCAAATTTTACTTTAAATTTATAAATTTGCTGGCAAATAAATAAACCGCTAACAGAATCAGTAAATTTGATTCGAAAAACAACTGTCTTTTCAATTCTCTGATCTGTTCTATACCTATGTATGTACAGTCAGTTAATAAAGTCCTAATAATGTCCCTAATTAAAAATTCATCAATTTATAAAAAAAAAACTGAAATAATCTTGTAATTTTTGTATTGACATTAGCCCTCTGGCTGGTATCAGCTGTGGAAAATTTTAAAAAATATATCTAAAAGTTTCTGTTTTAGAGGCCAGTAGATTTTGAAATTATGACATTACTGTATTGGCTGACTGTACCTACGTTCTCGATGCCATTTTTATGTTTTTTTTTTTAAGTCAAAGAGGAATCTTTGATTTTGATTTCACACTTATTATTGCGCGTGAATGTTAGATTCAAGATTCAAATTATGGAAATTTTGGAAGAGAGCAAAAAGTTTCTATAGATGAAATCCAGAAACGATAATTATAAAAACTAAATTAATTAGGCAAGTATAAGATATTTCGACTTACCTTTCCATACCGATGACAAGCATCACTAGTGGTAGCTGACCAGCTATCCGTTTCAAGCCTGGCACGTTCCAGAGCCCCAGTAATGGTATCGATTCGGGACCATTCGCGCACGTCATGGTCACGAAACGGAGTACCATTGGAGGTTGGAGGAGGTGCTGCTACGACTTCCATTTTTTCCGTTAAATTCGATTAATATCTGTCGTCGTTTTGGTGCGTGATATCAAGCTGCTATTGAAAATTATCTGGAATAACAAAAGAAAAAAAATTATTCAACCTGAAACGTGTCTGGTTTATTGTAAATCGGACCGTAAAAATTATGCAAAATGGAAACGTCTTACTGTCAATTAAAACCGAGAAGAAACACGAAATGGGATGACAAGTACCATTGTACCATTCAAATTATAAAATCCACAAGGCGTTAACTTGGGATGGTCTTATCAGATTGTTTTTGGGCAACTATAAAGTCGGCACTGATTTTTTCTTTTTTTTTTTTTCTTTTGGGAGGACGTTATACCTACATATCCGTGACTGGCACTTAAATAACTTTTTATGTATTTGTTTGTTCAAACTTTGGGAATGTTGAATAGAAGAACAAAAAAAGACCCAACTAAATATTAGTTTTTCTCATCAAAAATTAGCATACAAATAGCCCAGTGATGTAAGAAGCAATAAAATATGGGTTTCTAGATGGACAAAGGCTAGCTGTCGCATAAAAAAATCGGACAGAAGAAAAACAATGCATCAGTCAACTTGGCAAAGTGGGCGGCTAACTTCAAACCTTTCGTTGACTTTGAAATAGGATCGTAAATCGTGTATTTTGGGAGACGTGTTGGTATTTGAGAACAATAGATCCAAAAAAAGGATACCAGATGCAGGAGTTTTTCAAATACCTATTTGTCTAAATGATGATTCACCTAAAAACTTGTTTAGTCGAATATTTTACTAAGTATTACCTGCTCTGTATTTAATCCAAGTTTTCAGGAGAAAACGAAGAATGATGTAGGGATTAAAGAATCTCTATTATCAGTGATATAATCTATATTCAGATATAACATAAAGTTTTTCAGTTTCCCTACAAGTTTAGAGTAATTTATAGTATAATGTGAATTTAGCAGAAAATATTTGGCCACTGAACTTTGATACATATCAATTATTGTATTTCATATGAAAAACATTCTATGTGAAGCCATTTCCAGGGGGGGGGGGGGGAGGGGAATATCCGTCGATACTGTGAGTCAAACTGTCTCCGAGATACGTCGGAGCAATGCTTCAAACGTACTAATAGTGCACTTAATTAAGCATAAAATAGGGGTCCACCTACCAATTTTGAGGTAAGAAGCTGAAAATTGGTATACACCTTCATTTTGACGTTCCAATAGTGGTCACAAAAGTCACAATAAATCTAGCCAAGGCTTGTTTAGTTATTGCAGGTCAAATGTTATCTCGGTTCCTATAGCTCCAACGATATAAACACCTATTACAAAACTTAGAGATAATAAAATTCCTAAGCACATTTGTTTGAAACTTTTTTTTATAAAATGAACTGTTCTTCAGATAGAGCGCGAAGAGTGGTAAGCCCTATGCTCCAGATTTTGACTAATAAATTAAAGGGACCTAACGGTGAATTTTTGCATACACGTTGTTGTTATGGGTCTAAATAATTGGTGAAAGTTTCCTATCGATTTGGTGATTATTTTGGCCGTTACGGAGAGTCACAGGTCAGGAATGCGTTTATCAATATCTCGAAAACGATCAACTTTTTTAAAAATTTCGTCTTAAAAAAGTTATAAATCATTAAATTTGCTGCAAATTTGGTCTTAGGTATAGTGCTCTACAACTAGCCGTTCTTGAAATATATACAGCGTTCTTGAGTCTACAGCTTGTTTCCCCTTATTTCGAGAATGTCCCCTCTCTCTTTGTTTAAATTTTGCTTGTATCTCAAGAAGGAATAATTGTAGAGCAATATAACTCAGTCAAAATTTGGAGAAAATTTAATGATCTATAACTTTTTTGAGAAGAAATTTTTAAAAAAGCTGACCACTTTCGAGATATTGATAAACGCATTCCTGACCATTGACCCTTTGTAACGGTCCAAATAATCACCGAATCGATGGGAAACTTTCACCAATTATTTAGACCCATAACAACAACGTGTATGCAAAAATTTACCGTTAGGTCAAAATCTGGAGCATAGGGCTTATCACTCTTCGCGCTCTATATCAAGAACGGGTCATTTTATTTAAAAAAAGTTTGAAACAAAAGTGCTTAGAAATTTTATGATCTTTAACTTTTGTAATAGGTGTTTATATCCTTGGAGCAATAGGAACCGAGATAATCGCAAAAAACTTTCTGTAACCTTTGACCTGCAATAACTGAAGAAGCCTTGGCCACATTGATTGGGACTTTTGGGAAAACTATGAGTATACCAATTTTCAGCTTCTTACCTCAAAATTGGTATGTGAAACCACAACGTGACTGGACTATAAAGGCAGTTGCTGGACAATAATTCTTTTTCAGTCAATTTTTGACGGAAAACCAATGATTGGTCTTTCAACTGATAATGGCAGTCATCATACATAAATAATTGATATCACATAAGTAATACAGCAAATTCAACTATTGGTTTAAGTTTCTTTCCGTTTTTGCTTTTCCGAAGTGCCATATGGATATGCATATATTAAAATACATCAGGTCGAAATATTTGAAACACAAGTATGAACTGACTCCACTAGAACTTAGATTTTGTTTTTTCATTTATGAAATGTTACCCCATCACAATTGGTAGTGAACACGTGAAAACATAGACATGAATGAAAATACCGTATCACGCTTTGAAAGAATGTTTACTAATTGATCTTCTATAAAAACGATGAAAGTTCTTTTATGTGGTAGTTTTTGAAGTGAAACTTCTTTTGGGATGTTGCGAATTGGATGTTATGAAACGGAAGTTGAGACAAACGATATAAATTTGTAGGAATTGGCCTGCAAGAGGATGGAACAAAACACATCTCTATGTTTTCCAACATGGCGTTGCTGAATGCTGTCATTTCAACGTCACTGTCTTACTGGGGAATGGCGACTGTAATTTTTGAAGCTTGATAGTTGAAAAATAGATGGCGCCACAATAACTAGTGTAATCTAATCAATAATTTGGAGGAAATCCTATTCAACAGTCTCGATATAATAAATGATTACATAAGAGCTATTCCAAAAAAGTTATTTGACCTTTTCTTTCGTTGAAAAATAGCTTTAGTGCAGTTACTTTGGAACGAGTGTCAAATGACTGTTGCACTGGTTAGCAATATTTTATTACGTAATCAAATGATAAATTCAATACGTACTGGGTCTAATAATTGTCAACCGCTTACCAATAATATACAGTAGGATGGCATTTAAATTTAATCTAGCTGTTTAAGCAAGAAGTTTCACTTCAAATATGCGCACATAGTGCACACATGTTTTAATTTTTTTGTACAAAATTGTCCGTGGTGGTCCACTTTTGTAAATTTGATAGAGACATTTTAGTGGACGTTTTTATTAACAGACAAGAGAAAGAGCAGTTCATGCGTTATCTCAATGTACGCTAAACAATTTTCATAGTGGCTGCAAGATTCAAGAGAAATACATTAATACCAAAGAAATACCCCTCTCGAAGTACTGAGCCCCAACCAAGGCACATTGTACCGTATCTTGCATACTAAACTGGGGAAATTGTAAAGAATAAAAAAAGAAAGAAGAAAATACACATAAGGAATAGACTTTACCATCTCAAGCAGTATTCAGATCGCAACAAGAACTATATACTTTACGAGAAGAGAAGAAACTTTACGAAGGTTAGATCACATACGAATAATTGAGAAGAGAAAGGAATCACGAAACCCAGGGCAATAAGGAACTTATCAAGGAAATTACCAGAATTATGGTGAATTAGGGTGATCAAAAATACAATTGAAGACTACAGTGGAAAGTATGAAAGTCCTAGGACTTAAACTATCAAAGACAAGGCAAGACGTGACTGAAACAAGAAACAAAGATGGTATTATGAAGGGTGTCTCAGCAAGAGCTTAAACTTCAAAAGACTTAAATCTTCTAGAAATATTAAGAGACTTGCAGGATTTCGAGGAATTGCAGGACGAAGAAGATGCTCGTCGTCAGGTAAAGCCGGACTCAAGCAGTGACTGGCCTGAACCAGTTCCGGAGTCGGAACAATGGTTGGCTCCAGCAGATTCAACTACTGACTGAATAATCCTGCCAAGTCAGTAGTTGTGTATTTACGATATCGAATGCTACCTTCGCCCCTTGAAATGAAGACTCATGGCTGAAAATAATCGCGGAAACCCCAAACATTTTCTGGTTCTAGTGGTTTTGTAATGCTGGATTTGTTGCATCAGGACATAGCTTTCTTTTATTCGTGTGTATTGCTTAGTTTTCTACTGTTAATATTTCCTAGTCAAGTATTTGTATTGTTTTTTTTTTTTTTGTAAATCAAATAACTGCTTACTTAGTTGTAAGTTTCCTTTGCATGTAATAACTAGAAATCAGTGTTTGTGAAGAGTAAATAAATAAATAAATATGTAAATAAATTCATTTAAGGTAAAAGTTCCTATTATCGGCACTACCCCAATTATCGGCACTTATTCTGTACAATCCTTAAAAATAAGGTTTCTACCGAAAGATAGTTGAAAGAAAGTATTTTACGCGTTTCTGCGGACCTTGATCTACGCCCTTGCAAAATCCACCGATCTTCAGCCTAAATCGGTAATGACAACTGTCAAAAATATATTGGTCAGTTGGCGCCAAACTCTTGTGTCAAGCTTTTCTTGTTACATGTGTTAAGAAACAGGTAAGCTACATCGTGTTATACTTCCTGCTTATTCTTTGTATGAACGTTTTATTGGGTTTTGTATGTTTAGATATCATTATTTTCATTATTTGTAAAGTTAAAAACTATTTTTTTCATGTTTTTCCAAGTATTTTATGGATGCCGATAATGGGTACGTTAATATAAGTTGCTGACCCAATCATCGGCAGCTGTGCCGATAATTGGTTGTTTGTATAAGTTGGTATTAAGATCGATTTTAGCTTTAACTTTTAGCTTATCATAAGAAATGTTTGGTCATTATATGCAATATGAAGCGATGATATTTCGGACCAATTTTCGGCACCCCATATTTCCATAGATACTAGCTTTTTTTTAACTTGAAAACTGTGCCGATACTACACACATTCACGTGCCGATAAT